CCCCAAAACCCCAAAACCCCAAGAGGATTAATCTAGAGTAATTTACAAAGCTAGATGTAATAATTGCATACTTTTTATTTTAATCAGAGATGTTTATGGAGAAAATTAAGATTGATCATTTACAGAGAATCGACTTAAATAATGCCAATCTTAATTACCTCGACAGATAAAATAACTATAGAGTCATGATGCACCCAAAAATTACTTCTATACCATAAGAACCTAAGAATCTAATGAAGAAATAAAAGATTCTATTGATGAAGGATATTATGTAAACACAAAAAGCAGGTCCGCTATAAACTGACGAACCATAACAACTGCAGGTTTAGATTGTTGATTAAAATCACACATTTCGACCTAAAATTAATTACCTTCCTCAATAGTCGTCACTATCAAGTCTTCCTAGAATTTTAAGTCCTTCTGTAAAGATAGAAAAGTCAAAACAGTTCTATGATTACATACAAGAGTAAATGGCGGAGGAATATGGAATAGATATTAACAATGGTCTTGTCATTAAGGACAAGAAAAAATTAGAACGCAAGGGAAGCTTACCTCCCATAGAATCCGCAGTTGGTAAGCACATTATTGAGTAGATACCCGTTGATAGGATAACAAAGAGATTGCTACAAGTAAGAAAAAGTTAGGCTAGTTTGGAGTTAAATGAATCCAAAACTATGAGAGAAAGTTCAGTTATGCGGAAAGAATCTAAAAAACGGTAAAAAGACTAAAATAACCAGAATACTTCATAGACAAGAAATTCTCTTATTAATGTGAATGGGACTGATTCTGTGATCGGATCAATAATAGATAGATAGAGTATTTATCTTAGTGGATCGTCTATTATTAAGCAAGCTAAACTTGTCCTTAATGAGTAGAAAAACTAAAGGTATCACAAAAGCCTCGAGAGAGTTGACAGGGAGAGAGAGTTTGACCATAATAACAGCAGTAGTATCAAGAAATATGCAAGTGTAAAGCAACTAGATTCTCTATACAAGTCTTAGGACTTTAAAATGTAGTCGCCGAGAAGACTCAAAAATTCTATTAAAGTGGAGTTAATTAAATCACCTATTCTTGTTGCCAGTTCATTAGCTTATCTTTCACCAAGCGTTATTGAAAGTGAAAATCAAAGTAAGACACAGAGAAGATATAACTAGAAGTATTTTGACTATAAGAAAATATCTGTTTAATAACAGCAACTCAATCACAGTAGTAGCTACTCTTCAATTATAAACCAAAACTAAGTATCATTCTCCAATAAGTATTGACAGTTTACTTGTACTGAAATCCTAACTTAATAACTACTATTTATTATTTATTATTGAGAAAAAAACATTTTAATCATTATTTATTAGAATCCCACGGGGTTTTGGGGTTTTGGGGTTTTGGGGTTTTGGGG